CTTGCATTTTCGGTTTACATTTTCATGGAAACACCCACATGTATGTATGTACATACAACAAACAAGAAATTCAAACCCCTGGAAACTTTTCAGGGAATTCTCCTCACAAACTCAATATAGTCTTCAAAGACCACTTACCAAATCGTCACCTAAATCCGAATCATGTTCATTTTTATTTGAACGGCGGCCAGTACAATCCATATTATATAATTGCATTTATAGAGTAATATTTTATGTTATATTTATGTGTGTGTTTCTTTTTTTTTTAATTTTTTCTACGAGTTTTAATACACATTCACTAAGTAGTTTTTTTTTACATACACACTCGCGCTATGTGATAAATGTAAGCAAATAAATGAATAACTCTTGTATAAATTTATGATTTTTTTCACTCACTCGAAATCGCTTCAAAACAGGTGTTTGCTGATTGATAGGCCGCGTAGGTAAACTCGAAGAACGGTTGCTTGATGTAGTGTGAATATAAACGTACGGGCAGCGATGTAGTCAAATGGTCACACTTGAAGCTTTATAAATATGTACATATATGTATAAGTAGATATTTTTTTTTTATTTAACCGTTTTGATGAATTGTCAATTTGCGTATGTCAATTTGTGAACGTTGCAAAACATACATAAATGGCACAAAAACAACGCACTCACACAGGCACTTTCACATAAATAAATTGTAAAATTGTGTTGTCTACATCGTTGCTAGCTGTTGACGATCAGCAGCGACTATTGATCGTTAGTTACACTAACAATAGCAATAACAAGTAGTTGCATTACACGACTGTGTACCGTTACAAACGCGTTGCGCAATGAAGCTGCGCGACGTACGTATGTACATACATACACTTCATTGGCCGCGACGTTGGTAGTACCACCGCTGCATCAGCGGATATGTAAAGGAAGGCGGCGGCGTCGATGAGGATGCTGACGGCGGGCGGTAATTTTTTTCTGCTCTGCTTTGGTAACTTGTATTGTTTTGCGTTGGAATTTTTCAGCTCGCAAAAATTTTTGTAATGTTGAAAAATACTTAAAAATTCTTTTAAAAGTTGTTTAGGTTAACCAACACTTTTTTCACTCAGTTTTGTTCTTTTAACTTTGTTTTACGCTCGTTTTAACACTTTTATCTTTTGTTTTCTGCGCATGGGGAGTTATTTGTGTTATTGACGCATTTCACTTTAATGATCACTATAACCGTTTGATTTTGAGTACTATTTCCCCTTGTATCTACTGTTACGTACAAGCAACAACGCTCACTTCTTACACATTTTGTATTTTTTTTTTTCGGTGATATTTTTTATCACTTATCAATGCGTATCCCTCTCGCTGCCTCTCACAGTCTTTAAGAAGAAGGTTGTTGCTGTTTTTAGTTTCAATATTTCTATTTTACTTAGTATTTTTTATTAAATTTCCCACTCACTGTCTCAAACCCGATCACTTAAGTGTTTTTTTCTTCTCAAATACACTTTCCAAAAGCTTTTTTTCCACGAAATGCCA